TCCAGAGGCTCCGGATCTTGCGCTCCGGAGATGTCATACAGCGGCCAGGGTCTCAGCGCCTCGTCCATCACGTGGGTGCCGCGTGCCGCGGTCGTCGCGCTCATCAGCGACGTCGCCGTCGCTGGAATCTGCTGCTGCTGCTGTATCATCGTCCGCGCCTGTTGTCTTCAGTGCAAGTCGTGCTGTACTTCTCCTGCGTGGCGCAGGATCTGTCTCGTCCCCGCCTCGTTCGTTCCTGTTGGCCACGATTTTCTTCTCGTTTCCCTTTTGATTGATTTGTTCTCCGCCCGTCGCTTATGTTGCGTAAGTGCAACTTTAATAGGGGGGTGATGTAGTGGGCCACACCGTTACATAAGTAGGTGGATTTATATTACAAATGTAGGTGCAGCAGCACACGGCTAGCGTGTGCTGAACTGCTGTTATCCTATTGGTTGATATATGGGGAGCCAGACCCATTATCAGCCAATAAGGGGCTGACGTGTATTTGAGTGGTCAGGGCAAGCTGCCCTGGACCTAAATAAAAACAGAGTTGATTTTCCTTCAGACTAAGCACTTGGATTCACTATCGTGGAGCTTGCACGCTTCCTCATTATTACGTGTAAGCTAGTAACGGACACTCTAGGCCCGTTACACACGACATCAGAAGAGGACACCGGCGCACGACTGACGACGTCGACAGAGGACCAGAAGACGAAGAACTCACCAGAGTCGTTGAATCAGACGCAAGGACGGTGTCGTCGGCAGGCTCAGTCATCTCAAACTCGTATTCAGCTTCGCCCGAAGCCTCATCGTCGTCTTCCGAGTGAGCGGAGACAGGCGGTTGTGTGGCGGTACTCAACAGAAGGTGACGAACCTTTTTTCGCCGAGTCCGGCGACACGATTTACCAGAGCGGGGTTTTCCCCCATCGGACACGGTGGCTCGAGGAGAACTCGAGCGCAGAAGGGCACCGACAGCCTCGTGTTCCTCCTCCCCGGGAAGTGGACAAGCGTACGGCTGAGGCGGATGCGGCGCCAGCGAACGGTGACGAGAGCCTGCAGCAGTTGGAGACTTGAGATTGGCATAGCGCCCAAGCCGCTGCGTCGACGTCAAGTCCGCCAACGGAGTACGATGAAGCTGGGCGAGGGTCAGCTCGGGCTGACTTGCAGCCGTCTCTGAGCTGACAGGAGCCGCAGCCGAGTCCGCAGAAGGGGTCGCAGAAGAAGCCGGACCCGCTGGAGGTGCTACATTAGGACCAGCAGGTCGACCAGCAGCAGAACTAATCACTGAGGCGTCTTGGCGAGGATGGACGATCAACTCCAGCCGCCGGGATTCGCCAGCTGGAACGTTAAGAACTTCAGGAAGCGAGACTTTAAGACACGACACAGCTGGACGTTAAGACGAAGGTCGGACGGATCAAGTCCAGGAACCTCCAAACCGGCGCCAGCAACAGCAGCCATGTGAGGGTCGTGCATCGGAAGGGTGCCGTTCCGACGAATGAGCCGCTTCTGCCGCAAGATCACTGACCGCTGCTCAGCGATCACCAACTGAGCGTGCCGCAAGGGCTGATTGCCGGTTGAGCTGTACAGCTGCACCGACCCCTGCAGTTGCTCGAAAGGCTTAGAAGCAATGCCTTGGAGAGTGACAAACGCCGCATCCCTCTCGGAGATGGACCGGAGGAGGACTGCGATCTCAGCGTCTCGATCCAAGACTTGCTGTTGATGGAGCTGGGCTTGACTCAGCGAAGCCTCAGCATTGCCTTGCTCAGCTTCGATAACCCGAACAAGTTTTGCTCCACTCAAGGCTACAGCTTTTCGCAGTGAAGCGAGGAGATTAACAAACTGCGTGGCAGCAGCCTCCAATCGAGACACCTGTTGTCGTGCCGATGAGAGCTGAGTGAACAAGTCAACGTTGCTGAGGACAAGAGTGTCCAATCGCCGAGTCAACGCGCGGTTCTCTTCTTGAACAGCTTGATTGTCGGCCCTGAGATCACCAATGACCTGGGAATAATCAAGAGCGGCGTAGTTGCCTTTCAAGATGTCCAACAGTTCCTCCGCGGAAGAAGCCTGCAGGATCGCTCGCCGTTGCGGGATCAGAAGGCCCCACGGAGCGAGGGAATACGTAGGCCATGAGCCTCGCCAAGAAGGTCAATTCTTTCCGACGCTCGTATCCCTGCTCAGTAACCATGGTCATGAGGGAGTCAAGACTCACTGGAGCAGCCGAGCTTGACTGACTGTTGGTGCCCAAAGTGGTGTCGCCCGGCAAGCTCGGTGGACCAGGAGGGCGCGCGAGAGAAGACTCCGTCGACTCCGCGTCAGACTCATGGGAACTTGGCAGGTCGACCAACCCAGCTTCATGCCGGTCGCTGACCCCACGAGTACCGACGAGTCGGGGAATCGACTCAGCGGGCGCGCCTTCACCTCGACGAGAAGCTGGAAGAGACGGATGGCTCCGCGAATTGCGCTGGAGTAACAGACGAGGAGTAAGGAGCTGTCAAGTGAGCGACAGAGGAAGCAACAAACGTACCGAAGAAGGTGGTGGGGAACCGCGAGACGTCATCAGCCGAGTATGGACCAATGGTGGCGGAACAATGAAGGATTAAGACACTCACCAGTTCGGCTCGTATTATAACCGGGGCAGTTGTGGTGTAGGAATTTTTAGATTCGACCATACGCCAACCTACTTTAGATCAAGAATCGGCTCGGTCTGATAACCCAGATCTTAGAAACAAAGGATCATGGTAAGTACTCAGCGATCGGTCCGGACGATGCTATTCGGATAGCCGCTGAGCTCAACTGTCGCCTGAACCCAGCGGAAGTGTCGGTAGAGATCCTAAACGACTACATTTCACTAGATATTTGTATGAGAACATAGGATTAAATAGGGGGAGCCGAAAAGGCTCCCAGAAGATAACAGAGCAGAATTTTCATAGTCCAAGACACGTGTACACTCATCCGGCATAGGGCTGGATTATGCCTGCCGTCGATACTCGAGAGGAATAGTTTGTAGGGTATTGACTGGTAGCGCCAAGAGATTAGGCCGGTCCGGGTAGGACAAAGTCTCGCTACGCGCGAAAGAAAGCCCCGCAAACTCAGTGGGCCGGTACGTCGGATAGCCCGGGTGCCGTAACACTTCTAGCTGAGCAGCCTCTGCGATCGGTTACCTGTAAAAGCGTTCGCGCGCCGTCGTCCATCCTTTGGTGGAGGGCACAGGGTTGTGAACGAGCTCAACCGAACCAAACTCGGCGGAGCCTCGGAAGTGCTCTGACTTGGTTAGTCGGAACCGAGTGGAAGCGAGCCACTCGTCTGTCCCGGAAGGGTCGAACCGCGAGGAGGCCACCCTCTGCGCAGGCCATACAACCGCCGACCTAACTCGGCGATTCGTTGTGGTTTGTGTAAGGAATCCACATCTGACTGTATTTGTGTGTTCTACTACACCACACCAGTGGCATCCAAAGGCGGTAGCAGCTCGCGAACGACGTGGATAAATCAGCGCACAGCATCAATTTAACCTTACTCAATGCAGACATCCTGCATCACATGCTGCGCATGTAGATTAGGGGTGGCATGATCACGTGGCTGCACGCGTAGCCGTAGAGCCCGTAAATCATATTGAAAACAGACTCGTCCGCGAGGCAATAATGAGAACACCGACAACAGTGAACACAGCGTGATGTACCGGATTTTTGCGCTAAGATGCTTCTCTGTGATATCCAAGCGCAGATCAACCGCCTCACGGATGTAAGCGAAACGTCCTCGGACTTGCTCAATAGACTTAAGGGTCATAGCTGACAGACCCATCGATACTAGCGTGTATACCTGTAGCTCCATTGGCAGCTGCAGATAATCTTGATCGGCGAAGGGTTTAAAATACGTAGAATGGCTGCATCATCAACGATAGAAAGTGTGCATCTGCGTGGCCATCATGGTACACACGCAATACTGATAGTGTCCACGCTGCAAATCGGGGAGTGTTTGGTGTGGTTACCAAAGCATGTATACACCTGGTGAAACAACACGTCTTCCTTGGTGATCGATGCATGTTGTACTGCATGTAAAGCTGTGACGACACCGGAGAGAATTGTTCCCGTGCAGCCAGCGGTACCATGCCAGTATTTTCCTTTAATTTCGGAAACAAGCGAATTGGAGTGACCATGTGAGTGATTCAGAATATCTGCCTATGAGTAGACGCACCAGAACGCATAACCAGCGGCGAGATGACGTACAGGAAGCTTTTTCAACGACCAGACTGACGACGAAGCCGCCGGTATTGCCTTCACCAACATGCTAAGAACATGAGCCTGAAGCGATCGATGGGTGAACGGGTCCGACACGCCACGAGCGCAGCTGGAGCGAATGACGAGCGAACCCAGACTAACAGAGCAAAAAATGAACGAGGCGCTTGACGTCACAAATTGGCAGCCATATGGCATATCTTTTTTATGCTCTCGACGGTACGGCTTCCCTTAAACAACTTTTGCTAAAGTTAATGTCCACTGTACCGGAATTTACGGGTTTTCTGCAACCGGTGTAGAAAGTACCTTCAAGTCAAAAGCGTAAAAACGGCGGAAGGCGTAAAATCTCGCACAAGATACTCCTGTCCATTTGAAACCGTCGCTTTGCTCACAATAATGTAAGAAAAGGCGCGATTTAACTGGGACACTGTTTTGATGTCAAACTGGTTAATTTAGTTGGTTCTGCAGACTTTTTACGGACCACTGCAAAAAGTTGATCGGTTGCAAAATACCGTAAATTCCGGTACTGCTTTTATCGCCTTATTTGCATTGACGTCGCCTAAACGTGGCGTTTTTGGCCAATCCCCAGCCAAAGCTTACTTCATAAAGGGTCAAGCAAAAAATACCTCTAATATTTAATTAAAAATTGTAAAATAAGTGAGGGCTCTCCAAGAGATTATTTTAAGAGCCTGACATTACGTACGAAAATGACTTGGTTAATGTAAGCTGAGCTTAATAAAGAACAGTATGGCGGTAACAAAAGGGTTTTTGAAAAAAATCAACTCGAAAATGGAGCAAGAGCAACATGTGCGGACGTTTGTTAAGCTAGCGAATCTCACACAGACATCGCAATTGCACGAATGGAACCTTGAGTCTCTTCAGAGAGCTCTGGAATGGGCCTGTGCAGCTGAACATGTGGTGAGTGTGGGTAAGCCGCAGCAGGACGCCGCGGTGCGTATCCATCAGTGGTTCCCAGTCGCTACACTACCCACGCTGCCTCTAGATGGGGCTTTGACGATTGACGCCGTCCGCCTCGCAAGAGTTCATTTACTGCGGTCAGTTCTGCAGAGTCCGTTCCTAGCGTCACATCCGACACGGTCGCAACTGCTGGTAGCGGTGCTACAAGAGCTTCAAAGCAGACGTGAAGACTCTTCCTACACGGCAACTATTGAGGTGGAAGAGCATTCGCCTCATAGGTAACACGATGTTGAAGCTGTCCCAGTGGTGGTGTGGCTGTTAAAGACTTATCTTGTGTCTGAATAATTCTATTAATCTGGTAGTGAATTGTTGACTGAAGGGGTTGTCGGAGCTCCACGCACGAATACCTTGCTGGCAGTTGCACGTAGTATGAGTGACAGATGCAAACGCATTCGTGTACAAGGTAACCTTCCTTTGCTGCTCTCAGTGCAATTATCAGATGTTAAAGTATTGTTCATGGAATAAAACGGCTAGTGCTTTCCGGGTGGGTCTTGGTGCCCCCATTCAAGAGTTATGCTCTCTCCCCACGCACACTCCAACTGAAGGTCATGGCGAAGACATTGCAGCGGAATGCAGTGGATGCACGAGCTGCGGTACATCCGGAGATATACCGCTGCTTTCTGGACGACCTACAAGGTTGCTTTGAAGCGCCTGAGAGTAACGATGTCCGGGTACAAAACTCGTAGTTTTCTTTCTGGGGCTAACATCTAACTAATATTTTACCAATGTTCTCCCTGTTCGCAGGAAGTCATGGTGCTGATGCTGGTTATGTGCGAATGGCCTCAGGAGGAGCCCCCGCAGCTTCGGGGGATGATGGGAGATCTCGTAAAAATTGCGAGTGACTGGGTAACGTGTAAACCCATTCGGTTTTGGACATTTCAGCCTTGGTTGGCTGCTATGTTGTCAAGTAAATCGGAAGCCCTCGCAAGTACCTATATTTCCGAGCTGTTCACAACGGGACTCTTACAACCATGTACGACTGTAACTGCTTTATGTTATGTGTGAGATGCATTAACCTTTTTCTTTCCAGGCGGGCGAGAGTTTGTAGAGCGTGTTGCGACTCTTGTGCTGCAGCCGGATGGCGTGGAGGATATACTGAAGCCATTCCTAACAAAATTAGACCCCCATTTGCAGCAAGTCTACTTTAACGTCAATCCAAATCCTTGAAGACCCCGATATCGCCGAAGTATTTGAAAGTATTTTATATCAGTATGCATGCCGACGTAAGACATCGACGACTTCATGATGACCATTGCGAATTGCTAGATCTGTTGCAGTGAAGAACGGCATCTCCAAAAGCGGTAGCGTTGCATCGGCACAACCCTCCTTGATCAATGCAGCACAACATCCAGTGCATCCTTCTTCTCCAGCGATCAGCAGAGCAGTGTATCCATAACGATTTCGCTGGTTAATCAGTTTTCGAAACCATTTCTTATCGTCGCATGATGAATGGTGGAAATGACGCAGTAACAGTTGCAACGAGGATAGCGCGTTGGACGCTGCGGCGAGATGTAGAGCTGAGTTTCCGTCAGCATCCGTCACGAGGGCACCTGCTCCATTCCTACAACAACAAGTTACCTTTCGTTCCCGATATCAGTGTGGCAAGCCTAACTACCGAAGAAGAAAGCGGACGACGTCGTGGGCGTCGCAAGCGGATGCATGCTGCAGAGCTGTGCGGCCAGTGTGAGGGTGTCGTTCGTCCAGCAAGGTTGGGTTGTTAGCCAGTAAGCTGTTCACAAGATTCACATCATTGTCTCCCGTAGCTCGCATCCATTTATCCGTCAACTCCATGTTGAATAAATAACTAAATAGACAATTAGAATGAGTAGTCGCGTACAGATAATGGACGTTTTGGTTTGTACGTTGCACGATCGTGATTTAGTCAGCTCACATATTAATAAATCTACCACACAACGCACTGGTTGCTCTGCATCAGTCCGTCGTAAACCCATAGACCTCCGTTTCTAGCGTAGCGTGCAGTACAGCTTTCAATTCGTCACGCACGACGTAAAGCGGTAGATCTAAGCGATTGAAACAGGCATGGCTGTGAATGAACCCGTCGCCTACCAGTGACACTGCCTTTAGAGTAAACGGGCACAAACGACCGTCGTAGCTTGTCAACGCACTAAAACCACCAAGGGGTACGCGTGATGAGCCTGTGGAGAACTGCAGCAATCGGCGACGGTATTGCTTCGGCATTTCGCGAACCAGCTCCCCAAACCAAATCAGTAAGCGATGATGATGTAGATCTTCCGAGTATTTTGTATTGCGCAAATAGTCTTCGACGTCAATTTCATCAGATCCACACAATAGAAAATCAAACTCCTCTGGATCGAAGAGTAGAAGCAGCTCACGAGGGACGACTTCGTACAAACCACGAAGAAAGGCTTGCAACTGCGGTGCCACGCTCTCCACTAGCAGGTGCTGCCATTTGCGCTCGATGTGCTCGCGCTTGTTGCTGTCAGTGACTGCGCTGGCGTTTCCACCTGGCACGAGCTCTATATCTCGGTATCTGTCCCCCTCCTTGACAGTCGTGGTGAAAAAGAGTCCAATCGACTCGACATTCTCATTGTCTAGTAGCCACCTTAAATTTGCGTACACTTCTGGGTCGAAGTCTTCTACATCTGCAAAACTCAAGGGGTAACCAAGCATGAGCTTTAACAGAGACGGTGCAAGATGAAAACACAGCATGGATTCTTCCAGTAACGCGCGACCCAGCAGTCGACCGGTTGCATATAAATGAAGTAGCTGGTTCGGCAAGAAATTTGCAATTGAGCAGGGATTCAGAAAGTAGGTTTGCTCGTCCTTGTTGGTACATACAAATAGTCCACGGGCAGAATCCACCAGCATTTCACTCAACAGCACAAACCATTCATGATGCAATCCACCAGCGTCGACGCCGCTCTCACCCAGAAAATAAATGCGCAGGACAGAGTGCAAATTCTGAAGCGGGATCATTGCCAGAGATTCCATCGAATCCTCGAACACATTTGTACGCTCTACATTAAGCCGCAAGTGCTCCTTTTCAGCAGGAACAAGCAGAGCCGACGTTGCAGTTACAAAATGAGCATATTTTGACGGAAAATCTTATGCGGCAAATGATACCGTCTCGGTGAGAGGAGTTGAACCGGTGCCATCTAGGCTCGTGCTTGGGATATCAAGAGGGTAAGTCGAAGCATCTACAGTTGAATCGGCTGATGGAGTAAGCACAATGTGCTGTTCTTGTGTACCCCGCACTAAGGTGGCAATACAGTCTTCAACCGACCCAAACAAAGGCTGATGGGTGCCATCTTGCTCAACGGTATCAGTTGTCACGTTTGGCTCTTTATCTACCAAAGTATTGATTTCACATTCTGACGCTGGTAGTGACAATTTCTCTTCTCCAACAGTGGTAGGCGGCTCCTCTTCGATGTCGACCCCAATCAATGCCGCCATGAGTTGCTTCACTGACGATGAGCTTGAATCAATCGCAGACTTGGACCGGAAGTTCGCAAGGAGCACCGTGAACTGCGTATCTTCCCACCGACCATCTCTGAACCAGTACACACGGCCGTCAACGTCTATTTTCCTGGTCCATTCTTTGCGTCGCTGAGCACGCAGACGCCGCCGAGTTGTTGCTGTTTGCTCTGGAGGAGTCGTGGTACCAAGCTCCACCTTGTTTTCATGTTTAAGTAGCGGTAAGAACGACAACCTCGTTGAGTGTTTCTTGCTGGAACCGGTATTACGATCTTCATCCGGTTCGTTGTTGACAAGGTCCTCTCCACATACTGTGCAAAACTTGAAGCGCTTGAAATTCTCGAAGCTGCAGACAGTGCACACATTGAAACCTTCTTCAGCGTCTCTCAGTGCTGCGTCTAGACGACGGTCATCCGAGCTGTAAAAATCGCATCCTTATAACAACTGTAAGAAAACCCCAATCCAAAGTCTGCAAGTTGTGACGTACTCCAGCAGCATGTTGCTCCAGTGAGCGCTGTCGGCGGATGTACGCTCGCCTGGCCAGCATGCTCAAGAAAAACAAGAGCAACACGATGATGGAAGGAAGCCTAGTACAGCCTCCCTATCTCAGTCGAATCAACTAGTACTTAGTATTGTGTAGCGTGGTCGTCAAGTTAAATGAACCCGTATTATCGATACCGGTATTAGGTTCACGTGTCTTGTTTTTACTGAGCCCAAAATGCGAAACTTCAACCCTTTTAGGATCACAGTTTCAAATAGCAACTGTCCAATAGTTGCTCGCAAAAGAGAACCTGTCAATGGTTCTTGCTGAAAATTCGAGTCGATGAGAAGCGAGGAAACAAGCTACAAGCTGACTGGGTTGGCTCCTACCGTGTCATACGAGCTGATACGCTCTCGTTCAATGTGGAGCACCTGGTGACCGGCGAACAGACCGATGTACACATCTTGTGACGGGGTCACACAGCACCTTGTGCTAGAGGAAGTTAGCTTCCGAGTGTGTACAAACTCTCAGCGATCCGCTCCACGTGGTAGTGGACATCTCCATTCCGGTCAAGCAGGGGCGGAGGTGCCCTCGTACGGGTACGAGTACTCAGCGCCTCCTGAACGCTACTCTCGTCCGAGTGCTTCTCCTGCGGGTCCGACGCAGGACACTGAGGTTGACCGCCTTCGTCAACACGCCCTCGGGCTTGAGATTGCATTGGCCTTGGGACTGGCGGTGATGCTGCCGCTCAGGCCGGGAATCAGGGCGTGCTCGCTCGTCTTGCGGGCCGCCTGGACCTGCTGAAGCGTGAGGTCGCGAGCCTGCATCTGCGGGTGGATTGCCGGGTATCTTCGACCGATCTGGACGAGGCCTTCCGCATGATCCGACGGATCGAGGGACTGTTGCCACGGCCGGAGCCGCATTCGGTGCACTCCCAGTTGTACGCGTATGGTGCGTACCCGACGTACTCGACGTACTCGGCGTATGTCTCTGGGGTCCGTTCGTACGGGGCCCCTCCGGCGTACGGTCTCCATCGCAGTCTTTCTGTTCAGCCCGAGGCTTGGGTGCCTGCTCCAACGCCCTCGTCGACGTCTGTGGCCGGGTATCGCTTCGAGGGGTTGGGCCAAAGCGGGTCTGCAAGTCAGCAACCCCCTGTGGATCATGGTACCGCTAAAGACGTCCAACGTAGAACGTCGGGTGCGTCTTCATTGACTTTGGCAGGTCGATGGTGTACGACGCACTATGTCTGGTCAGGACTGCAAATGGTCCGGTGAAGCGGTGCTTCAGCTTGTTGCTGCCGACAGAGCTGACAGTGTCTAGCGGTAGGCTCCTCGTGTCTAGTAGCACTAAGCCCCCCACTTTTAACACACAGTTAAGTTTCCTCTTCCATGTTTGTCAGAGTACTCCTTCTGTCTGTCCTGGGCCGCTGACATGGCGTCGCGGACCCTGCTGATAACGCTCAGCTTGGTATCCATAAAGGATTCTACTTGTTTCCGCAGCGAAACTGGTTTCACACCCGAGACCTGGGAGGAAAGGGCTTTTCGAGCCTCTCCCCCACTTAGAATAGAGGAGTCAGTGTCTCCTCGAAGAGTGAGAGGCACGCTGGGGTGACTGAAGCCGTTCAAGTAGAACGGCGTGAGCCCCGTGGACGCGTGCACCGCGTTGTTGAGCGCAAACTCAACAACTGGAAGCTGCGTCGACCACGTACGTGGGGCTTCCGCGCACACACTGCGCAGAGTGTCCTCGAGCACTCGATTGACGCGCTCTGTCTGGCCGTATGTCTGTGGATGGTCCGCAGTGGACATCTTCAGACAAGTTCCCAGTAAAGGAAACAGCGTTTTCCAAAACGCAGCCGGGCTTGAACGCTCGTTGCGAGCTCCGCCAGACTTGGCAAACGAGACCGTGATAGCGGAACACGTCATCGACGAACAACCTCGCGGTACTTTCGCCTGTGACGGTAACGTGCACTGGAGCGATATGTACCATCTTGCTGAGCCGACACACGAGCACCAAAATTCCGGTGTTGCCGTGTCCGTCGGCGGGAAGCCCAAAGATGAAGCCAAGACTCATCGACTTCCAACAGTCAGCCAGAACGGGCAGGCTCTGTAACGGAGCCGAAGTGTGCCCTGCGGGTTTAACCCGCTGACATGTTTCGCATGTCTTCACGTACCAGGCGACCCATGGGTCCACCAGAAGACCTCAGAGACCGACAGGAAGATCTTCTCGCGGCCCAAGTGGTCGCTGGAGGGCGCGTCGTGCGCCTTCGCGAGGATATCGAACTTCAGATCCTCGTCGTTGGGTACGACTACCCGTGGAGGTTCACTAGGCTCCACCCGGTAATAGAGAAGACCATCCTTCAAATCATATCGGTGGAGCCGGGAACGCTGTCGCGACGAAAGCCAGTCGTACCTCGCGCCCGTTCCTGATGCTAGGAACTTGACGATAGGCGCGACAGCCTCATCGTTCCGATACGCCATGCGTATCCGATCATATAGATCCGTTGTCACCCGTGTGATGTGGGCCAACTCGTAGTCTGGACGCCGAGAGAGGGCGTCTGCAAGCACGTTGAGCTTGCCCGGCTTGTACTCGACGCGGAAGCTGTACTCCGCGAAGAAGGACAGCCACCTCGCCATCCGTTGGGAGAGGTGAGGCGAATTCGTCGCCGTCCTCAAGGATGCGTGGTCTGTGTAGATCACAAAGGGCCTTGAGCCTAGAAGATGAAATCGAAACTTCACTAGAGCATATTTCATTACCAGGAGCTCCTTGTCGTGGACAGGGTAGTTCCGTCTGGCGGATTTGAGCTACCTGGACTGGAACGAGATGACTTGTTCGTGTCCAGCCGCATCGGCCTGCAACAATGCACAGCCGATTGCTCCCCATCACTCCTTGAAGCTGCTTCCAGTACTTGGTGAGCTTGGTGTCGTCGACCTTGAACACATACTTGTTAGCAAGAATCTTAATCTCCTTAGCGAGGTTTTTCACTCATACGAGTCTTCAATCGACTGTAGGCCCTTCCAGCTCATCAATAGCTCGTAATCCTAAAAGACGTATTTCACCGATGATCTTTGAGTTCGTTCACAGCTAGGACGACCCCTTATACACAACGTGCCGAGAAACTCATCCGTCACGTTCAGGCTGTCGTCCGCGTACATCTTGAGCCTGGAGATGCATAACGGGGTACGTAGCCCTAAGTGTACCCCTGGTTACCTGAAGTGTGACACGTCATACTTCGGGATATTTGGAGCAAGGTACCAAGGTCGTCCGAGGCCAACCATTGGCTGATGACATTGCTTTTTTATAGGTGACTTATAGTTGTATTCAACCCAAGCTTTATCTACCTATAAATATACTCAGTTTACAACCTACCTTAAATTGGTCACTGCGCCCCCTTTCGGTAAAGGGGGCCTGTGAGCTGCCGTTCACTGAGAGTTTGCATGCTCTCGGAAGCCAACTTCCTCCAGCGCAAGATGCTGTGTGACCCCGTCACATTTGGTAGCACTCGTAGTCAATCCACGCCAACGCGGGTAGACTACCTGAACCTCTCCGAAGTTCGTTGCCATGGATAGGAACGACTTCTCCCATATGAACGACTCTCAGTTCGAGTCGGTTCGGAAGATGGCAGGCATCTTCGGGATGGAGGCCCTGCAGAGCCTGATGGTGTCAACACCGGCCGAGCAGCTCGAGCGCGTCAATGCGTTTGACGCTTACGAGCAGGGGCTCATCGCGCATGTGCGGGAGAACCTGCAGGCTCCGGCGGCGGAAGTAAATCCGCCTCACCCGAAGCCAATACGGCTGAAGGTTAAGCCGTATGAAGGGAAGGAAGGCGAGAACCTTCACTTCTGGGTCCGAGAAGTAGAGCTCGCGATGGACGCGGCTCTGATCTCGACCGAGCAACTTCGTGTTGCTTTTGCACTCTCCTACCTTAGCGGCCGTGCTAAGAGTTGGGTGTACACACGGGAGGCAACATCCCCTGGATGTTTCATGTAGTGGGCCACGCCATTACATAAGTAGGTAGATTTATATTACAAAAATAGGTGCAGCAGCACACGGCTAGCGTGTGCTGAACTGCCGTCATCCTATTGGTTGATATATGGGGAGCCAGACCCATTATCACCCAATAAGGGTTTGACGTGTATTTGAGTGGTCAGGGCAAGCTGCCCTGGACCTAAATAAAAACAGAGTTGATTTTCCTTCAGACTAAGCACTTGGTTTCACTATCGCGGAACTTGCACGCTTCCTCATTATTACGTGTAAGCTAGTAACGGACACTCTAGGCCCGTTACATTTCACATCCTGGGCTCAGCTGTGTGAACAGCCGAGCCGCGTTCCTCCCGGCGAACTACGAGTACCGCCAGCGTTCGCGCTTCCTCTCGTGCAAACAAGGGAGGCGTGAGCTGCACGAGTACGTGCAAGAGATACGGGAGCTCACGGCGTCCCTAGTGGGAACCCCACTCAACGAACACATCAAGATGACTGTGTTCATGGACGGCCTTCGGGTGGCCCCCGCACGCACTCAGCTGTTCCGGGTGCAGTCAAGCACCCTTGAAGAGGCGATTCAAGTGGCTCTTCAGGAAGAGTACATCCATCACCAGGCGCGTACACGCCCTCAGCGTGGCCTGGGAGCTGCTTGTCGGCTCCCGGTCGAACAAGCCCCAACGGACCAGTTCCCATGAAACTCGGGTCCGTCGAGCAGCGCGACATTCGCTGCTTCGGCTGTGGGGAGATTAGCCACTTCAAGCGTGAATGTCCCGCGGAAAGAATTCGCAGACGGACTTTCCCCAAGCCCGTCCTCAAGCGTCGCTGGCAGAAGCCAGGATCCCGAGGACAGGGGAACGCCGGGAGCCAGTAGGGGCGGGGCGCCTTACTGGGGAAGAATTAAGTCTTCGTGATGGGTGCGCGGGTGGTGCGTACCACGGGGACTTAGCCCCTGAGAGTCTTCGCACTCTCGAATCGGCGAAGAGCAGCAGCGGGTTGCTCGTAGTACACGGATGTGTACGGGGATACGATCATCCCTTTA